AAAAAAAAAGAAAAAAAAAAAAGAGAAAAACATCATAAGTTTAAAGTTCTAATTGCTTACCATCAGTTGCTGTAGAATCCATGGTTGCTTTCTCAGCCCAAAAAAAAAACGAACTAATAAGGGTTTCATATATAAACCAATAATAATGAAAAAGTCCTCTTAGCGCGCGTTTGTTTGGTGGGTCCCTTACGGGTCAAGGGGCGCTGGTGTTTATTTTCAGTCGTAGGATCATGTACAAATAAAAGGAAATCAACGGTTATAAACAAATGCAAAAATAATATGATTAGGAAAATTAATCCATGATTCTAAGGACAATTTTTAATAAATGGATGAGCTTTAAATTGATATAAAATCTGAACGAATTGCCACTCTTCCAATTTTATTTTATTTTATTTATTTATTTTTAACAAGTCCAATCTAATAATATAAGTGGTATCTAATGTCCAGAAATAAATTGAAATAATTCAACACTAATACAACTCCCGTGTGTTATAAAAAATTATTCATAAATTTTAAGATTAATGAAAAAAATTATTTTAAACTTTATTTGCTTTTTTTACAAAAATATATATATTATTTTATATTTTAGAATGACATTTGTTATTTGTGTAACTTACATGTGTCATATAATAGTAACTTTTAGAGAGATAAATATAATTTATTTATTTTTATACATAAATATTGATGTTAAATTGAAGCTCATCAATAGATGATTAATTTGATATATTATATATGTAAAACTGATAAAAAAATAAAAAAGTTATTCACTACAAAATAATTGTTATATTCCAACGGAAAATCCTATGGTAATATATTCCAATGAAAATTCCAACGGACATTCCAATGATATAGCTTCCGTTGGAATGGTTCCAACGAAAATTCTAACGGATATATTCCGTTGGAATGTGTTTTTCATTAGAATTTTAGATGAAATTTGATTATTCCAACAGCTATAGTTCTAACGACTTTTTACCGTTGGAATTTCTATTGGAATATGCAAATTCCGTTGGAATTTTTATTTTCACCCCCGTTGAAAAATTTACTGTTGGAATCGTCAAAATCCTACGGAAATTCCAATGGAAAACTCATTCCAACAGAATATTTTTGTTGGAATTTCCGTTGGAATCCATTGAAAAATTCCAACGGAAATTAGTAATAGTATTGAAATATCCGTTGGAATTGCCGTTGGAATAATTCTTTTGAAATAGATTTCTCTTGGAATTTCATCATTTTCTTGTAGTGATTAACTTTTAAAATATATTTATAATGCGATGTTATAATAAGAGATATATTAATATATAATAAGGATTAACATAATTCACTTGTAGAAAGTCTTTCCCGCCAAAAACATTAATTACACACTAAATATGGTAATTTTAGAATCCATTTTAAATATAAAAATATTAATTACATTGTTATAGCTTCCTATTAAAATGGAATCCGGATTGTATTTAAATATTTCGTTAGATATATTCTGTTATAGCATATTTGTTAGCGGATTATATGGTGCAACAATATTCTGTTAGCATATTTATAGAGATTTATTTTATACATACCAATTTATTTACACTTAAATGATTTTAATTTATCATCATCCTTTTTTATGGTAGATGTTAGGTATTTTATATTCATATCAACATATTTTATAAAATAAGTGATATTGTCAAATCATTTATATTTAGATTGTTGGATCCTTTGTGGTTATATACGTTTTCAATTAATTTAAAATCAAACATTTTCATAAAATCTCGGTTTTTATGAAAATGATTTTCTCGACTAATATTTTTTATATCTATAAGATTTTATAAAATTACTTATTAAAAATAAAATTTGTTGTAAATATTTTTTCAGAGTATTCAACACCGGGTCGTGTCTATCGAGTAAGGTTAGCCGGATTATTTTGTACGATTATTCAAACACAAAAAGAGAAAATAAAAGAAATAAAATTCCTCAACATTCTAATCCAGATGATGGTTTTGATTATAATTATCAACTACTACGAGAATTTAAATAACGCAATATAAATATCAATCAACAACGTAGAACAAACAGGATTTAAGAAGCTAGGGAGTCGTGGATGTCCGTTTTGGTTCAAATTGCGATTAATGGGCAAGTGATTTTCGGTTAAGTGATTTGAATAACCTATCGTTCAAGTATTCATCCTCAGTAACTTTTCGTAATAAGAGAACAAGTTTGAACGACAAATTAACAATTTATTTAACGCCTAGGCATTACAGTTACGAACAAGCCTAGTTCATACGAGCCTATTTCGACCGACTCCTCCCCTTTCGGTTCTAAAAGTCGATTAAAGTAGACTAGAGGGTGGTTAACCGACTAATCAAATAGATTTACCAAATTCAAGCACGAATATATCAAATCCAATTGAAACAATTGTAAGTTGAAGTGTCACCCTTCAACAATTATCAATACTCAAGCATGACAGTTGAAAAATGCTATAAAAAAAGAAAGAGCTGAGCAAGTCGGAAAAAAAGCTGTTAGAGAAGACTCATCACTCTCATATTAATAGTGAAAATCCCATCCACGTTGTTACTTCCTCAGATTCTCATTTAACTTCGAAAACGGATGCAAATAAAGGGAAAAGATTGAGAAAGAATTTTATCAAAGAAGATGATGACATCCTTATTTCAAGTGATGATGATGATATTACCATTGGCATCATGAGAAAGAAGATGGCTTTGAAGAAAAAATCAGCTCCCAAAAAGATATCACCATTGAAAAACATTAAAAAGGAGAAAAAACTAATTGTTTTATTTTCCATTTTAATCTTGCATTTTCTCCATATGTTATTTTCTATCGTTCTATGGAAACATTAACATTGCGTTCAATTTTATAATTTCTCCTCGTGTTCCTTTCTATATTTCGATTAATATTTCATCATCAAATAATAATAAAAAGGTACATAGCACGTGCAACTTCCTAGTAAGAACAAATTAATGAGTTCGCAGAGTGCATGCAAATCGAATGCTAAATCGAGAGAACGTTGAGCTGAAACTTTTATATTTAATGTTTATGGAAATGCTAGCTTCTGGATTTACCTATAACTTATTTAGTGTTAAATCACCGTGACATGAGGCAATAACTTGCGCTGTTATATGCTTTCTTCAATATTGAGTTATGACACCTTTTACATGATTGTACAGCTTGGTAACTATTGACAAGTATTGTTGAATCTTAGAAATTAAGAAC